CCAAGGACATGGTTGCGCTTCTACTGCTTTGCGAGCCGAGCAGGCGAGGCAACCGTGTTAATTGGGATCTCGACGAAGAGGCAAACATACCTATTGAACAGCCCGAGAAACTGGCGTCTGATGATGATACGCAAATATGTCCAACAGACGTTTGCATCATCTGCTTTGGTGAATCTCGTCGCTCGGCGTCGAATCCTCCTCCGCATAAATTTCCTTCCAAGCGACCGGACTCACTTCGTCGTCATCTCATCGACTCTCATCTGCTTCATGCACACGACGGGATCAGCTGCAACTGGGAAGCATGTCGCACTCTTCCCAAGTTTGCCAAAATCACCGAATTTTTAGCCCATGCTAATAAAGAACACAAATATGATATCAATATTAAACTATGTCATCTCACCGAAAGGCCGCGGGTTAGCCACGGTGACGGTTCTTCCAGGGAAACATCTATGGAATCAGAGAATCGGCAAGGCACTGAAACTCCCGCCTCCTCTGTCGATTTTGATATGACAAACATTGATCCTCGATTGATGAGACCCGGCCCTATCGCCGTCTTGAAGCCATCAGCCTGCCCGTCAAAAACCGACATTTCCGCCTCCTCTTCTGGATGCCCAGTGACGACCACTGACTCAAATTCGGCGGAGAATTTTGCACGGCGAGTGACGAGGGGAACAGCAAAGGCGGCAAATATAGAACCTGGTCCTAAGCTGGAATCTTCATCACAGCATGCGACGCGCTCGTCTCGAAAAATTCGGCGCCCAGAAGAGCAGCCTGGGGGGCAGCAGAAGGGTAAAGGACGGCCAGGCAAATCGAAAGCGTCTAGTGTTAGATATACGCCACGTCGGTCAAAGCGATTACGAGCCCAGTGATTTGTGGCCTTGGGGATGATTCTTTTTGTTCGTATATTTGGATGCAGTTCAGTAGATTGATTGTAGACCTTATCTCGGAAGCATTTCTGGCTTAGCATTGATACTAGTTCCAGACTATCGTTTACTCTGAATGGAGGTTAATCAAAGTTGAGTCTCTTCCTGCTTCTATGATCTCTTGTTGCTCAGCACATGTCCGTCGTATCGTCTTATAAACACGCGTATGAAGGGTGATCGCCTGAAAGATATTCCAATTCGTCCCAGTCCTCACGACCGTCCACATCATCGTAAACTTCGCATATATCGACATAATTGTCAGGAGTGAGGATCCTGAGGATCTCCGTTCTGAAAGCGTCATAATTTCGTATCTAGCTCAAGATCAGTCTTCCTTAGATGATTGGTCCCTGGATCAGGATTTAGCAACATTGGGGCGACGTACTCAAAGGAGACGATATATCGATGCAAGTTTGATTTCTCGATTGTCAAGACACTTCACAATGCCGAAGAGGATTTCGGTAGGCAGGAGCTCCATACAATTGAATCAATGAATCTCAGCCGTACCAGGTTATTACAAGAGGGAAGGGGGTGATGCTAGGGATGCAAACGAAGTGGGCTCCGCGGCCTTTATATAGGTAAGTACATCGGATCGATGATTGGCTTCCAAGGAGATGACTAAACATGCAGTTCTCAATCGGACGCGGCCGGTGTGGGCATTAACGAAACCAAAAGTGTATCGCAGGACTTGTATCACCTGAAATACTTATTCGCGTACCCTTAAGCACCTCTTTCATGAGACATATATCCAAACTTGACACAACTCTACCGGCGCAGTATTTGGTCCTCTTCTTGGACGTCTCCGATACTACGCTGTCCAATTTTGGTAATCCTACCCTGGGGTGCTTTCAGGCCCTTAAAGATATAGAAACAGTGTCTCCTGGCCTGTGTGGTTCGCTGTCCAAGCTAGACATATATCGAGTGACACCAAGCCGAATATATCATGGATCTGTGGAATCATGTCCAGGTAGGTCCCAAGCCTGGAGATGTGAGTCCGTGGTTGGGGAGCTGTGACCACAAGGCCAATTACCGACGGCCGTGGACGCAGGTCCACATTGGACGTACGTCCACGGCTCCTAATCTAGGTGTGTTTTGTAACTGTCAACTGGCGGCCACCCTGGCTTAGTGACCATAAGGGTCCTCGGTCTTCTGACTACGGTTTATATGGGTCACAGGGTAGTGAGTCCCTATTCTCCAGTGTGTCCCTACGTAAATCACCTTCTCTTTGCAAGTTCCTGGAAAGACGTGAATTATTCCTAGCTATCAAGGAAATACATGAAGCATACAGGGTGAATCAAGATATGATCCGCGGGACCCACATGGTGGGGTTCCCCTGAACGCGAGAAGCCTATCTCGTTTGCTTTCTCGAGCTACGTCTTCTATCTTGAGTCCACTATAGTTGTTCTTTATATCTATGTATACGTGAGACCCTCACACTAGATGTGACCGTTTATGGATGCTTGGGTTTTACCACTACGCCATCTGGCCAAAAGGCACAATGTTTGGTCAGCGACCCAACACCCAAGCCACCTCTGGGAATCATTTGTTAATTCTGGGGAGCCCTCGTGATCCCGGGAATCGTACTCAGGGGATTAGGAACGGATGTAAAAAGTGTGGGTGACCCCACTGATCCACCGGCACCGATCTTGCTAAACGCTAAAGTCCAGGGAACACACTCTAGTTCTTGGGGGCTATACAGTCCATTCCCAGGAGCGGTAGGTCCTCTGGGAACTATGAGCTGACTTCTGGGAGCGACCAAGAGCGTGCCTAGGAGCCATGCTATGGATCCTAGGGCCGATATGATCCTAGGAACGTGGGTCTTGCGAGATAATAAGCGGGGTCCAAAACACGGGCAATCATTGCGGGCAGCAAAACAATTGCTCCCAGAAGTAATCAATGCTCTCCGTGAACGGACGGGTGTGGCTCCAGGACCCAAGGTAGAGAGCCCAGGAACAATCTGTCTCGCTCCCAGGAGTGACAGGTAAAGTTCCTGCATTAAGCGTGAGCATGATAATAGGAGCGATGATTGTAGCTCCCTAACTCAACATAACGTAAATTAATCAGAAGAACAGCTAGCTGGGTTTAGACCAGAACAAGACAGGCAAACGCATTTAAGTGCGGCGACGTTGAAGATTGAAGAATTGAGAGGCCGCTCATTTTCAATGGCATTAAGAGGCCGATTCAACGTGTTCAAGCTCTCGTCATAGTAGAGTGAGGAAACGGATGCCATTCAAGCAATGCTATTGTGGAAATCGGGTGGATTGGTTGATCCCGGACGTGTGTTGACCATTGCACACAGACGAACTCGATAAACGTTGAGTAAATAGGAAGTCAACAGTTGTTGACGGCAGTGTTAGTGTTCACGGTCCTTGTCTTTATGTACATGTCAAACGTGAAATAAGTTCTTGGTGAATATTTTTATTTGTTCGAGGAAATCATACTGTATGTTTTATTTGTCTAATTAATTTAATTTAACTGATCACCACCTTTAGCAGCAAAAGGAAGATGGTGTTTATTAGATGTTATTGGCTTATTTATCTCCACTTGCTCTGATGTCCGTGCATCCCCTAATACCCTGCCAACCCCCCAGGTCTACCAGTGATAATTTTTTCATCCCTTACAAGATTGTTCTCAGCCGATTGCCAATACTTGACGTCACTACGCACCCATGCCACTTCGCAGAGAACGGGCCAGCGAAGGTGCATTAGTCTCCTATCCGGCAGACTCGAGAGGCCGGTTCTATAGTTGCTCAGTGTTACTCAGCGTTTCTTTGTGCGCCATCTCCTGCTGCCCTTTTTCGCTTTTCACCGCATTTGACCGAGCGCTTTGATGACTTGCTCAAGCGATCATACATGGCTGTTCCTCTACAATCCTAAGAGCTCCTAGGGTACCACCTCACGTTCCCCGAGGCAATACAGTTCACTCCCAGGAGCTGTAGATCCTCTTGTGAGGGTCTCACGTATACACAGAGGTGGATAGTGTTTCAAGATGAACAATCGGTCTTAAGAACAACTATAGTTGACTCTAGATACAAGACGTAGCGCGAGGAAGCAAAAGAAAGGTAGCTTCCTCGCGTTCAGGGGAACCCATATACAATATGTAGGTCCCGCGCAGATCATATCTCCATCCGTTCCGTATGCTTCATGTATATCTTTGATATAAAGCTACAGGAGCCCAATTCTAGTTCCCAGAAGCTATACTGTCCACTCCCAGGAGCTGTAGGCGTGCTCAGGGGACGAGGAACAGATGTAGATAGTATGGTCATGCTATCTATTTGAATATTATCCGATGGGTGACCCCACTGTAGCTCGGGGAACCCACTCGTTCCTGGGAGTAAATGATATAGGTCCACTGGGAACCATGAGTCTGATCCCTAGGAGCGACTAAAAGTGTGCCTAAGAACCATGCTATGGATTGTCAAGGATATACATGAAGCATACGGAACGGATGGAGAATGATCTGCGCGGGACCCACATATTGTATATGGGTTCCCCTGAACGCGAGGAAGCTACCTTTCTTTTGCTTCCTCGCGCTACGTCTTGCATCTAGAGTCAACTATAGTTGTTCTGAATATCGATTGTTCATCTTCAAACACTATCCACCTCTATGTATACGTGAGACCGTCACACTTTATTGCTTTGAGAGGAGCCGATCGGCAAGGACACACCCGGAAATATATCAACCGTGAGCCATGACTTTGTCACATCAATCGCCCACCGTTCTTTCCAAGCGCTATAATATTGTTCCCCCACTATGTTTAGTGCTCTACAATTGGAACCAGACCCAAGCGATCGGAGACACCAGGCCGCAGGACGAGTACGGTGGGGGATGGGGTTCTGCCCTCATCTCAGGCTGACTTAATCACTGGAATACTCTAGTGATGGGGATCTTTCGGCGCCAACCATTTATTTCCTTTTGTTGAGCGACTACACTTAAAAAACACAGTGACTGGATGCCAGTTACAATTCAATCTGTGCCACAACAACTGAGACGTCCTTAAATACCGCTTTCGCGGATGGGGAATTTGTTTAATAGTTACTCTTCACGTTTCCTTCCCATTTCTCAACCTTCTTGTGCAGTCTACAGCTGCCTTTGAAAGGCGTTAGCATCAGTTTCTGCTAGTTTCAAAATTTCATCAATGTCGATGGACTTCGGATTGCTCGGTGCTAGAGGTAGCGCGTGCGTCGTATCACCGTCGGAAAAAGGAGTGATTTGATTCAGATCTGATTCGGACTCGTCACTACGACTGGCAGATCCGTAGGCGTCGCTATGGGATGCAGCGTCAACGGTGAGGAATGGCAAAAATTTTTCTACTTCCGGTATATCGTCCGACAAGGGAGTGAGATCAGGAAAGCCGAAATAGGGGTCATCAAAGCTCGCATACGATGGATTCTGGCTATAGGATGTTGAGTAGGTCTTTGGACAAGACACATTGAAAATGGGCCAATCCATCCACGGAGCACTCCGAATCGCAGGAAGCAGAGGGGCATCAAATTTCTGTGAGGCCACAAGATGTCTGTCGAGCTGATTGTCGAACTGCCCGTTTAATTGCCCTCGGAAGGGCAAGTTTTCCGTTTGTGAAAGACTCCCGGTACTTAATATGGGAAACGGATCCAAGTTTGGTGGGGAGTTTGGATTGTTGCTCTGGTCGAGAGGCTGTCCTGAAGCCTTTTGTATGAAGTCATTCTCGAAACTAACACCGGGAGCACTCTGAGTACAAAAGATACCAGCGACGTGCGCCGAAATCTCTTCGTTGACGGACACGTTTTGCGCCGAAAGAGGCAGATATTCCAGGGAGCGATGAGCCACGTACGAAGGTGAGTGGCTAGTGTGAGTCCGGGAAATGACGTTGGGTATTTCACCATTGAGAGTTATATCATTATGCTTGTGTGCAGGCTCTTCATGGTCGGCCTTTGATATCATCAGAGTTCTCTCGGGCTTAATTGGAGTGAGCCGAGGCTTATGCAGCTCCGTTATCGTCGGTTGTGGCATGGAGACACGGGCCTCGGGTACGTTATTGTGACAATAGTCTTTCTTTGAGGCGCACTTGCAAGGCTGGCCATGAGAGCAGCAGCAACGTTGGCGGTGATCTACTGTTTCCTTGGGTTAGAATTCAACTCAGACCGGAGTTGCTAATCTTTTTGCTCACGTTTAGAAACTCCTCCCCCCGTCGCATAGCAGTCCACTTCACTGTGCGCATTTTCTTTGTTACCACATTCACATTTGACATGCGTTGATCGAGACTTTCGAAGGCCTCGGCAATGCGCGCATTGCGAGACTGGGCGCCCTTTCTTTTTGATATGCAGCAGGGGATTATCTGCCTCGCATCAGCCTCGGACCATACACAGTGGACGAAAAGCGGAAGCCGAGAGTGACGTACCGCTGTGCTGGCAGCTGTTTGCACGATGGCCTCGAACACAGGCCCTGCACGCCCACTTCTCTCCTTGAATCAGCATCGCCGATTCACTGGGACAACAATATCCAAATAGGCAAACGAGGAACAGAGGGATCGTAGGAGTTAACAATATGGGAAGTAAAACAGAGAGTTGTAAAGCAGTGGCAAAGACAGGATGAATTGGATGGTTTTTAAGATGGATGGAGGTCATCGGCGGCTGAAGAACCGGTGGAGACGATGTGGTAAAGTTCCAATGGCGTAATGAAGCACCAGCCACCAGCCAATTGTGGCGATACAAGGATGGGACAGGGAGGGCATGGACATGGGGCACGCAACTATCTGCATGACTTCGCGGTGGACCCTATCATATTATTGTTTCCCTTGCTATCTTGCATGCTTGCCACGCGTCGCGCTCCTCGCACCGTCCGTTTGCTAGTTATCTATGGCCTCGATCACACTTGTTGAGTGTGATAAAAATCCAAGAGCAACCCATAACTAGGTAGCTAGCTTAGGGAGATTCCAGGACCTGATCTACAGCTCATCATTTTCAGTGGACATGAGTTTTGCCAAGCAAGATGATTACACCACCATTACCTAAAGCACAGACCCATTTTTATGATTTTACTGCACTAAATACCTATCCAGTTTGAGCGCCCATGGAACACGGGCAAGTCTCGCGAACCTGGTTGTGTGTGAACTCCTCCAGACCAACCAACTCAGCGACCGTGTAAAGACTCGGTAACAAGGAGCCTAGAAGGACAGGCTTTCTAGACGGCGGTGCTTGGGCTTCATGTCATTGGGTACGAGATAGCCGGTTGCGGATGCAGCGTGAAATACGGAGAAATTATTGGCCACTTATCACCCTAGCATCGCTGGCCCCACCAGTAAACTCGGCTTCGTATTGATCGACACGCCACAACCAATGAAAACCAAGCGATCCTAATAGTATCTCATTATCTCATTATTGATGATTTCAAGTAGTTTGACTATCGCCGGGGTCATAACAGCCAATCCAGGTTGTCCAACTACGCCTTTCAGGTCTTCTTTCGTGACTTTAGCAAGAACCCGTTCAAGTGTGCATTAAACGCCAAGGTCCAAGTTCCACAGTCTAAAGCCAAAGCAAAATTAAAAAAAATGTCTGTTTTCGAGGAACTCAATCATCCGATCTGAAACCGACCAGTGGCAGTCGAGCCTTCATCAAAAGACTGCTGGATACGACACTGACACTGCTCAATGCCATCGCGAGGCTGGACCAGACTGGATCCAACCGGATATGGCTGCCGTTGCTGACGATTGGGTAAAACACTCCCGCAGCGACTGGCACGGCAATGCAGTTGTAAACCAGCGCCCAGACGAAGTTAAACTTGATCCGGCGGAAAACGACGCGGCTTAGATCGATGAGCGTCAGGAGAGAAGAGAGACGAGAAGACACGAGGACAAACTCTGCAGCCGAGATCGCAATGTCCGACCCTGAACCAATGGCAATGCCGACGTCGGCCGCGGTTAGCGCAGGCGAATCGTTAACCCCATCACCAACCATCGCGACAAGTGCCCGGGCGGAGCCTGTTTCCTTCTGTAGGGTGTTCTGGAGATATCGAATCTTTTCTGCCTTTTGCTCGGGCAGAATACCGGCAAGGATGTTCTCTGGCGGGATTCCGACCATGCTGCCCACCGCATGCGCGGTCGTCGGGTTATCTCCTGATATCATCCACACCGCGATACCCCGATCCTGGATAGCCTTGATGGTCCCCTTGGCCTCGATCCGGATGGGGTCGGCTACTGCCAACATGATGGAGAGCTTCCAGGGGACTATTTCGGTGGCTGATTGCTCCGGGCGGATTCTGTGCCCTACCAGGACCACAGACTTGGCCTGGCGCTTCCAGGCGCTCAATTTTTCGGCACTGGCCGAAGGGATGACGATTCCGTGATCTTGCATCAAGGCCTCATTGCCCACGATGACTTCCAGGACGATGACTTCCAGGACAGATGAGACCCGATTGCGAGCGCCGAATGAGCCTTTCATACCCTTTCCTGGTATTTCATCCACCATAATCGCTTTGAGGACCGGTGCTAGCTTGGAGGCGGCAAAAATCACAACCGCCTTAGCAATCGGGTGATTGCTGTTCTGTTCGAGCTCCATAACGGCGCCCCAAAGATCATCGACGCCTGCGCTATGTGTTACCTCATGATCAGTGATAGAAGGTTCGCCGCCCTTGGTAATAGTGCCGGTCTTATCGAAGACGATGCAGTCAAGCTGGCTGGCCTCTTGGAAGGCTTCACCCCCACCTTTGACGAGGATCCCATGCTGAGCCGCGAGACCACCACCGACAAAAAGGGCCGTCGGCGCTGCGAGTCCGATACCACAGGGGCACGCGACAACAAAAACTGAGATGGCGAATTGCAACGACCAGAAACCCCAGCCTCCCGGAGTGTTGGCCTTCCAGGAGTCGGGCAACCGGCTGGAGACACCAAGGCCTAGCCAAATCACCCAGTCCAACACCGCGACGAGGGTGATGACGGGAACAAAAAACCCCGTAATCAAGTCTGCCGTGCGCTCGATTGGCGCTCGACGGACCTGCCCCTGGCGAACGGTGTTGATGATCTGATCCAACATCGAGTCGCCTGAAAGATGGGTGACACGGACCAAGACCGGGTTTGCCTGGTTGACTGTTCCCGAAAAAACTTCGTCTCCAATGGACTTGGAGACCGGTCTTGATTCCCCAGTCAGACTCGACTCATCAAACTGTGACTCTCCGTCGATCACCGTTCCGTCATACGGAGGTGAGGCACCGTTCGCCACCCGCACCACATCTCCGAACTCCAGTTGGTCGATTGGAACTGTGCTGGAATTCGCAGAGGCGGAGAGGCTACCCGCTCCGGCCGTGTCCACAAGTGTGGCCTCTGTCGGGCGCAGCTTGCCCAGGAGGCTAACTGCATTTCCCGCTTTGGCTTTGCTGTAGGCCTCGAGCAACCGGCCGATCAGTAGGAACATGGTCAAAAAAACAACCGCATCGAAGTACGAGCCGGTATGAGAAGCTTTGGGGCTACCGTGTGGCTGCGAGGCATTGATGGCCAGGATAGCGATGGAGGAGAAGTAGGCGATGCTAGTGCCCAGTGACATAAGCATATCCATACTTCCAAAGCGATAGAATCTACGCAAGATAGGAGTTTTGCTTCCGGGTCGCCAGAGCGCCTTGAGCTCGGTGAGCATGCGGCGGTGGAAAATGTCTGCAGCGAAGAAATAGACAGGACTCGACGTGATGAAGAGCGCCCACTCAGAGCGTGATGCTTCACCTGACCACATAGGCTCCTCGAGGTAAATCCGACCGGGATTGTCGTTGTGGACCAGGGACATATACACCACACCGATGATAAAAGTCGGGATGGCAGCTAGCACGGCCAAAATCAACCGGCGAGCGATATGCCATTGATGCCGGCGATGCATCGCCTGAGAGCGTTCCTCAAGGCTCGGAAGGTGGTACACTGAAACGGTAAAGGCTTTATCGATATCGGCAATCGTGCTCATGATATGTCGGATGGTAAATTTTGGCGCCTCAGGCAGATAGCTCACAGTAATCTTCGGCTGTGTCTTGCTAGGAGGCGCGGTCACTTTTAATCTGTCCGAGTAGACGGCGAGGGCATCGAGAATCCGCTGTGGACAGCGTGGACAGTGCATCCCCTCCACCTGGATGGTCACCGACCGCTTCGAGCTGGGTTGACTAGATGTGGCTCTGCTCTCGACGTCGCCGAGGGTGGCCGTGTAACCAAGGCTGTTGATAATGCCAGGAATCTTGTCCAGGTGGTCCTTCCCTTGGAACTCCACCATCGCACTAGCGGAGATGAGATTCACATCCACTGTGGTGATCCACCCGTACTGTTTCAGCGTGTCGGTCACTTTCCCGACGCAGGAGCTACAGGTCATGCCTTGGATGACGTACGAAGCTCGCCACGTATCTTCCAGTCCGGACGCACTCGATGGCTGCTGGAGTCGGATCTCCTCACATTCGATCAACTCCGTGGTATAACCCGTTTCCCTAACCGTCTCGAGCAACTCATCTATGTGCGACTTATCCAGGAGCATGATAACGGCACTGCTCGTCAAGAGATTGACGTCGGCCGATTGTACCCACGGTCGAGTTTGCAAGACCCCGGTGATCTTGCTCACACAGGAGCTGCATGACATCCCACTGACGGACAATGTGACTCGCGCCCGAGTGTCGATGAGGTGGTCATCCATAACGGACACGAGCGCTTCTTCTTTTGTCTGACGGACGTGTCGACCGAGCTGATCTTTTTTGTCGGCGACTGCTTCCTTGTGAACGGTAGAGGACGTCTTCGACGACAGCATATCGAGCTGTGCGGAACATGCGTCGCATTTTGAGAGGTGCAATTCGGACTGAGCAAGGACGTCGTGTTCGAGCTCGCCACGGGAGCTTCTTCTTTGAGCTTCTGCGGCGTTGGCCTCGATATCACCCTCGCTGGCATCGGGAATAACACTGTCAACCTCGAAGGCAACATCCTCTAGAGCGCGTACGATGCGGTCGGCGCTAAGCGTAACGGAGTGCACGATTTCGATCTCATGTCGAAGAATAGATGTCGAAATGGAAAAAGGAGGCGGCTTTAGAGCCGAAAGAGTCTCCTCGACGTTTGTCACGCACGACGGGCAGTGCAAATTGTTGACTAATATGGTGGTCAGCCTCGACTGAGGCAGCGACAACTTATCACTCGGAGCCATCTCCGGCGGATAGACGAGAGGGTGAGAGAGACCAAAGTTACATAAGGTGGTTGTCCGATCTGCGGAGAACAGCTAGCTTTTATAGATCTCGAGCCTTGGT